TCCAGCTGGTCGACACGTCCACACAAAATTAAATGTCGCTGAAAAATCTGACTTAACGTGCACTGAAGTAATCCCATATTGTTTATGCAGCAGAATATTTAATGCTTACCCAAATTACCATGTCATACGTAAATTGATCATATCAACAGAGAAATGTGTTTGAATGAACTGCTTACTGTTGACCACTGTAATTTTTTTCCCTATGTAAATAATTATCTCTCACAATAGCCTAAACTTTGCACACATCAATTTCTGCATCAAATGGGTCGAAGCACGATTGACAGCTTGTTCAAAACCACTGAGAATTAAATATGTGGAGTATGTGTTTGGTTTTCTTCCAGTAACTTAGTTTTTCTGAGTATCTGCTGCATCTGCGTCAAGAAACCTTTGAGCTATTTTCTTGGTCAAAATATGCATTGGTTCCTGATTGTTTTTGTCAGAATTTTCCAATACAAAATTATTCCCTAATTGACCCAATGTTGATCAGAAGATGTAACAGATGACAAGCTAAGGATTGCTACTAAGTAGTATTTTTCTTTCTTCAACTCAAATTTGTATCTATTGAAGCATTTTGGGTACAATGCATAAATATTTTATTTGCTCAGAACTTTTAAACCATTGCGTTGTCAAACAAGAAATTCATGGTCAATAACAATACGCCAGCTGTATTTCCGACAGGCAACGGTAGAGAACTAGTATTTTATGTTTAAAATAAAGATGCATACAGATTATTTTGAAAGCAAAGATAAAACTTGTTACAGTTGTTTTCAAACTGTAGGAAAACCCCAGAAGTTTCATATGTTTGCAACCATCCTTATACTGAAGTGTTTCATTGTTGTATTAACCCTTTATGAGTGATCAAACATTTCTTCCTTACCTACTGTGAGACTTGTACTTGTAATGCTAAATAACTGAACTTTTATAATGCAGAACTTACCATCAATGGTTAAAGGAGGGAAACCTCTGTGATGAATTTGAATCCCATTTACACTCAGATTTCCACTATGTAAAGGGCATTTTGGTACTCAGCTGAGGTTATTTGAAAAGGAGGGAAGAACAGGCTTGCTTTTCATCCTGCACTGCTCAAGTGGGGCTCCTGATGAATTGGTGAAAGAGAACCATTGATAGTGCCCATGGAGATATCTATGGCTGGATTGTCATCCCAAACTCCCAGCCAAACATGTTGGAAAGAAAATAGAAGGGAGAGGGAAAAAAACACTTTTTTTGTACGTTATCCAAATCAATCATCTCACCACACAGATATGGACACTACAATACTGTACATATTTTCAGAATCTTGACATTGCTCCGATAAGTAATGCTGTTAAACCTTCCTCTCTCTTGTACAATGCATCCTCAAACCAGCAGCAAGGTCAGCATGGCATAAGTTCTCAATGTGCTTCACTTTGTGGGTGTGAAATGTGTAAAGCAAGAGTGGCTTACATTTTATTCCAGTTGGTACCTAAAGTAGTGTTTAATAGAGCAGCTGCATGTACTATTATAAAGGAGGCCATTGTCATACTTACTGAAGCCTTAGGGTCAGGTTGAGCCATTGATCATCTGTAACCTGGTTATTTTATGAATACTGTCTGACCACAGCAGCTGCAAAGCTTAGAGTGTAGTCACTTTTTGACACGATGCCTCCAGTGTATGATTTTTCCTTGTAATGTAATGTACAGGGATCTTCAGGAGGGTTACCAAGAGGGAGACAAATAGACTTGAGCAATTTAAATTTTAATTCTGGTATAAAGAAAATTTAAATATATTTGCTCCAAACAGTCAATCCAAAATAGGAAAACATTTGCTAAACGTTTAATAGAAACAAATTCAATCCATCCCCAAATCTCAGAACATTGAGTGGACCAAATGCTTAAACTTGGATTCGCCGATAGTTATTACACTTTAAGGTAAATCCTGTTGAAGCTCTTTGAGAATTTGCGATGATAGTGTAGTGATTTTTTTAACTTGAAATATGCTATATCTAATGTAAGGTGTATTATTATAATTGCCCAAGCAATCTCACCTTCTCGTTTGAATGTACTCAATGGTACATGACTCCATGAGTAAATTTAACATTGTTTCAAAAGCTAGTTTGAAAATTGATAAATTCCCCAATTTTAATTAACTGCAGGTGGAAGAGCATTTGTTTTGAGACACCTTCTCATGTGATGGGAACATCTTGCAGTTTCTTTGTTACTCCTGCTTGTACTTCACCATTCAATAGTAATTATTTTGTTTGCTTGTGTGCAACTTCCTGGCCACTTATTGTTAATTGAGTCTGTGTATACACTCTGTGCGTGTGTGTGTTTATATACATTTATGGTTGCCTTAGTTACAGGGCGTGTTTAAGAAAGCTAGGCTGCTGATTTAGATATTGCTGGTTCAGCTATATCTTAGTGTTGATTGATCAGTAATGAACACATGAGTTACAAGAAGTTAGATTTGTCACACAGATAAAGTGTTTAGGTCCATTCACAGTCGCACTGTTTTGTTTAACTAGAAATATCTCAATGTCAAGATCAAAAGAAATCAAATAGGAATTTGGGAGGGAATAATTATTCTGGGATCTAAACGAGTCCCAGTGTTCTGGAATGATGAGAACAAATTGGCCAAAGGGCTTTCTTCATCCATTTTTCATTCATATCTCTCTTGTGATCTTTTCCCTGGGAATACTCCCAAAAGTTTCTTCATTTACACTTGAACTGATCGCTTCTGTGACATTGAGCCATCAGAATAACATATCTTTTATTTACCCCCTTTCACTTTGTTTTATCTCATTTCAAATGTGCTCAGAGCAACTACATTTAAAACTAATAAGTCCTTTCTAAACAGTTAATCTTACCCACGTGGTGTATACTGTATGTTGAAGCTATGATTCACTGTTGCCCAAGGAAGAGCACAGGGCAACACTAGCAGATTTGCTAGGATCATCCCAAACCGACATCGTTTACGGTTTACCGGCAGAGTTTTTTTATTAATAAAATTATAATTTATAAATAATTAAATGGATACAATGGATGGGAAGTCCGGACAGCATTTCATTCATGAAACATGATTTCAACTTGGGACATTCTGCTACCACCACTTACTGAAACAGGCTCCCTTTGGCATTCATTTCACTGATTTATTTTGAACATAACTTTGCACTTGTTTGTCCCAACTATGAGTGTACATCTGCGTGCTTTTTCCTTTGGCTGTGTAGACTCAGTCCTGGAAAACACAGCAAACATTTTTATTGGCCTCAGCAGCTGCATTTAAAGAGGATCCTCCTGGGAAATGGAGACGGGTGGGTTGTAGTTGGTGGCTTGAGGCATGATGCAGGTGTGTCCAGAGCATTCTAGCCAGAGGAAGTTGCTGTTTGTTTTATGGAAACAAATCCAAGTTTTTTGCTCTGACTAGTCAATGGGGGAATTGCCATAACTGTGTGACTCAGCCACATTGCAGCAACATATTAAATTCCAAATTATTATCAATTGCTTCTCTTAACGTAAATAGTCACAAACTGTTCTGGCAATTAACAGCTGCTCTTACTCAGCTAGACACTGAACAATCCTCCATCTGTCCATTCTTGTCCTATGGTTACTATGTCAGAAGGTTGGATTAGTGGGGGCTGGCCAATAGTTTCTCCATGTGTACACAGTTTCATTTTTTTTACGAATAATATGTCAAATTTACGAGTTTATACAGTTGGCAGTGCAAATGCATGTGGGGCATTTGATAGCAATCTTCCCTGAACATACATTAAAAAAGATCTAGCAAATCATATTAAATTCCAAAATAATTCACTCACTCAGTCATCTATTTAATGCTACTTGACCACAGCAAATGTGATGCAGCGACTGCATCTACCTCTTCTGTGCTGTGTCAGCCTACAAGGTTAACTGTGTATGTCTTGGCCACCCCTCTCAAGACTCTGAACTTGCCTTTATATTCCCATTACAGTTAGCACTGTGTATCTGTAACCTGGATGCCTTCCAATCACATACAGGCATATTTGTCAATCATTTCTTTTAAAAGCAAGACTTTTTTTGTCAGCAAAACACATTATGCAAACTAACCACTGAAAGAAGCCCATTAAGAAGTGGAAAATGGAAGCATTCAGGAGGCACGCAGAGCAATGGTTCAGACAGCATACTGAGGCTGTTTTAATTCCAGGTCTATGCAGATATGCATTGGTACTGTGGGAAGCAATTTATTGCAGAACAAAGCAAAGACGCGCATTAGTTTTCTGAATTTTACCCAGAGCTGCACCAATTAAGCGTTTCATTTGCAAGCATTTCAATCAAGCTGTTGCAGTCAATCATAAATTTATTTTCATTATGTTAAGTGCGGTCAAACACAAACACATAAAGCTACATTTTGCTTTAACAGTACATCAGCTCTAATAGAACAGAACCACTTTTCATTTGTTATAATTTCTGCTGACAGTAAAGAGTGAGTGGCTCACTGAGGCCAGGTTAACGGCAGGTTCCTCACTTATCAAGTATACTCCCGTTCTCTAAATCCCCTGGTTTAGTGTCAAATAACTGAAACTTCAAGATCTGAAAAATTCTTTTGAACTTTTGCCTTTTTTTAAAAAAAACTTTTCAGGTTCTCAAGCTTCACTACTGCATCCTTTTTTGCAAGACAGTAAATCAGGAGTGTAGAGGCACCAGTGTCTGCATGGCCTTGCCCAGTGCTAGTTTGAATAATGCTGAAAGAAAGATACTAGGATATTCTTAACATAGTTCACAGTTATGATCTACAGTACAGATAAAAGTTTGTATATGTACAGCTAATATTACATGCAGAGTTATAATAGTCTTTGCATTTGATACAGCATTTTATCACATCATTGAAAAGCCTCAAAGAGCTTCACAAAATTTACTTTAAAATGTACAGACTGTAGATGAATATGGCACACAATTTACACACTGCAATGTCCCACAAACAACCGTGAGTGACCAATTTTATTTGGGGGATTGTTGGCCAGGACACCAGAAGTGACTCACTTCTCTTTTTGAATAGTGCCACAGGATCTTTAACATCCACCTGGACAGGCAGATGGCACCTTGGTTTACTGCCTCATCCTCTGATAATGGAGTGTCAGCCTAGACAATGAGTTCAAATTTTAAATGAGTCTGGAACTCGCAACCTATTGATTCATAGGTGAAAGTGAGATTCACTGGAGGACACAGACTGCTACCTGGATTCTAAATTAACTGGAAAAGCGTAAAGGTCAAAAATCCAGAAGTAATCAATCTACTAGTTACTTTTTGTTTGCTGGCACCCCACAAAATAATCTTGCGGTTCTCTGCAGGAGGATTACATGTTGCAGTTTTTATTGAGAATTAATGAAAAACATACATGAAATTCTAGGACGGTGAGAGTTTAGCATCAAATTACTGATTTAGTTTTCTGCTAGAATCGAAATGATGTGAAACTGTTATAATCATTCCATGGTTTTCTAGGCTCTACAAACAATCTCGTACTCTTATTCACTGTATGGTTACAAGTGCCACCCCCTGCAGTTCTGTTTGAAGTTCTTAGAGCATAGTCTTCTGGAAGATGCATTCGAACACACATCATTTTAATATCCTGAACAAAGTCTTTGTTTCCCACCTGTCTCTGACATATCCACATAATACATCAAATTCAGACCCTCACTATACAGTAATTCTTAAGAGCTGTCCTGACCTCAAAGAGACAGATACTTTAGAACTGAGATTCTAACTGAATATTTGCCCCATTTCTGTTTGTGGAATATGGCCCTCCTTCTATAATCGTCTCCCCCTTGACCGTTAGAGGTGTTTCGCTTTTAAAAATAGAATCCATCTTGTTTCGTGGTTTTATGTTGAAGTACTTCTGAAAATACTCTGATGTAAAGTAATAGACAAATGGGTCTAAACAGCAGTTTGTGGTGGCGAGGCACAAAGTAATCGGGTACATGGTCTTAGCAAACCTTGCCAAGGAACAGTTTGTTATCGCCTGTGATCGGACAAGAGCATAGATGAACAGGATCGAATTGTAGGGCACAAAGCATACAATGAAAATAGTCAAGTGTACAATGATCATCTTGAGGACCCTTTCCTTGTTTGTTCCAATCTGAGAGAGTGTGGCTGGCTTTCGAAGCGTCCTCAATACCAAAGAAGAACAAGTCAAGTTCAATAGTAAAGGAATGAGAAATCCAACTATTTCAATGAAGATAGTGATCTTTGACAAATAGGTCTTCCAAATGTCTTTGGAAAAACCTTCAAAGCACGTAATGCTGGAGTTATTTTCCCTCTTGTTGGTTGTGGAAAATAAAGATGCTGAGATTCCTCCACTCAGCACCAAAAGCCAAACCCCAGCACAAATAATACTGGTGTTTCTCCTTGTCCTGATGGTGCGAGATCGGAACGGGTAAACTATAGCAAGAAAGCGATCGACACTGATGCACGTGAGGAATAGCATACTCCCATAGATATTTATGAGAAAAGCTGTTCCAGAGACCTTGCAAAGCCAATCCCCAAAGGGCCAGCTTTTATTGATGTTATAAAATATTTTGAAGGGTAATGTAAAGACAAAGAGAAGGTCAGAGAAGGCCAGATTTGTCATGAAAATAGTAGTTTCATTTCGCATTTTCATTCGGCAACAAAAGAAATACAATGACGTGCAGTTAGTTATCAACCCAAGTACAAACACTATGCTGTAGATCGATCCGTACAGCGTGTATTTAAAGGAATCATCTGTCAAACAGGTCTGATTCTGGCTGTTGTTCCCCATGCCAAATCTTCAGGGTTTGTACAGTAGTTTTCAGTCTGAAGCCAAGTTGTCAGTGTACCATGAACTGTGGCAGAAACCACTTCCAAGGTTTCCTGATAAGTTTATGTATTTGTACCATAATTATTCTTTGTGCAGTTGACCTCCAGCCTGCAAAGGAAACAAAAATAACATTAGAAAATGAAGATAGTAGCTTTAGCGATATTTGTTTAGCAATATGTAGTAATTGATGTCTTGGCTGCTTTTCTTTTGGTGGGGGGAATATCCAGGTGACTGGATATTCATTCAATGAACAATTCATTCAAAATTATAGGATATCAAACAGGATACTTTTGACCCATTCTTCGGGGAAAAAAACTATTGAATAATTTACTTGATAAATACAATATAAAAAGTAACATTTTTAAAAAATATTAAATTTGACCATGCTTTTCTTATCTGTGCCCTAAAGTCAACATAAAATATCAAATTGGAAAGCTTATCACTGCTGAAGAATATTATCTGAGGGTTTGGAGTTATTGAATTATTGAGTTATTTGGAGCTAGTGTCTCCACGACTTGCAGATAATGTTCAAAAGAAGACATGATGTAATTCATGAATAAGCGTTTGGATCGAATACCCCAAATTGTTTTCTTTTGCAGAACGCTAAAGTGCTTCAAACATTATTTCAATGCACCTGTTGCTCCTTACAGTCATGGCATGTGATACAATTAATTAAGAAGCAGTGGATAAACAAATACAAACTGTAATATCAGCAAACTTTATGTGGGTCAAGAGCTGGCTTAGTAAAGAAAGCTTCCGTGTGAACCATTAAAATGCAGTAAAACTTTAAACTCTACCTTGCAGGAATTAAGTTTGTGTGGTTCAGATGCTTAAATGAGTATCAGAAAAATTAAAGCACCAGCTTTCAAAAGGCTTTAGATTACATAGGCTATCCACTGAATACGTTTTCTGTTCTGGAAGTATTTCATATAAAATTGGTGCCATTGTCTTACTTTTTTTAAAAAAACATGTGTTTGTGTATTTTTTGAGGTTTAAGTGACCAGAAAAGGGACTCGTATTTTATTGTAACTTTGTTTTTTAAGATAATTCCAAATAGCACTTTAGAGTTTGCAGATAGTTTCTGCACTCCCTGGTGATCATTTACTATATTCATACCATTGCACATTTATTTTTAGTTGAATAATTCTGTAAGAATGTTGTTACCAAATAAATAAGTGTTTTCACAACATTACAGAAATATGTAGTAAATCTATAAAATATCTGGATAGGCCCTACTGCATTTGTAAGGAAAAACCTGCACACTTCATTCATTAAACAGAATGAAGAGTAACCATTAATATTTTCCATTTACTCAACCCAAAAATAATGCACTCTTTCAATATGCTGTTTTATATAACCAGCAGCAAATAACACCAACTAAAAAGGAGGGTGAAATCATCATTTCAGAGATTTCTCTGAGGAAAAGAATGATCCGAGTCTGGTCAAATATGAAGCATGCTAATGGCTTTCAGATCAATTTACATTGCATTTAACCTCCATTTAACTGTGTCTCATGTTTCACTCATCCTGAAATCAAATCTGATCTGAAACAAAGAATACGGGGCTGCATCTATCTGTCAGTTACTCACATTTGACCTAAATCATTTTTTTTAAAAAAAGCTAGACTTTGAATTCTGATCAGCTCATTTCGCCTAACAATTACTTTTGATTTTTTAACTGCTCTCCAAGCATTTCACCTCCACAAAACCATCTTCGTTCATTGGGAGTCACCAGTTATAAGATCATGTGGTTCATTTTTTCTTCCCATAGGTGATTCAGAGAAGAATCTAAGCGAGGGGCTTTGTCATGACTAGGGGCAACATTATTCCATGGTTAGCTGACAGCAAACCTGTTACCCGCATACTGACACATACTGTACAAGTTTCATAAGTACTGATAGATGACAGATTGACAGGTTGGAATTTTTCTTTTTATTTCAAGGTTGCACATTAACAATATTCTTATGCTATTTGACTATAATTTTAAAGGCATTTTTACAATTTGGGGGTTGCATTTTGTTACTGAACAGTTAAAAAAAATGCTGCTTTCTCAAAAAAATTTCTTTGCAAATGAGGAAAATGAAAACCGTCTTTTTCCATAGCACAGAAGAGATTTCTTGATGAGGATAAAGTTCAGAACATTAAAAATAAGTGAGTCCAAGCCTGGACCTGGTCCAAGTAATTCAGCTCCTTATCGACCAGTTATATAATGTTTGGAAGATGGACCCCAGAACGAGACTAGAGACTGTCTGTAAATTGCAGTGTCAGATTATCACTATGCAGTCATGCGAACGTGCCTTTCATTAAATCTAAACTGCCTTCCAGTATTTCCTGTTACATTTATGTGAATTTTGGGACCATCTGGAGCAAAGTCCCCAGGGCCAGGGAGCCTGTGCCATTTAAAATCCATTAAGGTTGCATCATAAACATAGCACGGAAAGTTGATGAGATGGTTCGAATACAAATTCTCCCATTAACCCTTTAACAGCAGCCATTTTTACACTATAATTAGACATAATATTTCACCTCATCACAGAATACTGTGAATTAACTCACCTAAGTAAGGCTCTATATGAAATGCAAGGATGATTATTATATGTGATACTTTAGTACAAAATATGTGACAGATTCTCATTGTTCTGGAGCAGATGTCTAATTTTGTTTCATTGAAAATTCATCCATAAATATCCTAACCAGACCTGATGTGTAAATTGATGTTAATTTTCCTCCCTCTGACTTTAGATGTAATACTGTTGCTTCTACATATCCATCTTTCAGGGCAGAATTCACTGCAGCCCAAAGAGGTTCTCCAATGTATGATGGATATTTGATATCTTGTCACCATTGAAAGTTTTGTTAAAAAGTCCAAGTGGTTTCAACTCAATATAACTGCTTGTGTATGCAATGTAGTGTTTTAATCTTCTTTGTGACATTAATATTAAGAAACTCTATATTCACTAGTTTATGAACAAAAATGGACTTTGCAAAATACAGAGCTCTCTGCTTCCAACAAAGTGTTCAGTTTGGAAAATAATTCAGGTAGATAAAGATAACAAGTCAGATATTAGGATGGAGCAGGAGAAAGGTTTACTTGTATCATGTTGGAATCATACTGGGGTTATCAGCTTGAGTATCATTACCACGATCACTATGAGTGATAATGCTTTCAGCAGACATTCAATATACAGTATACACTGCAGTACCATTCATTTCTTGCTCTGTTTTTGACAGAAATCCATCTAATTAAAAGGTGACCATTACCAGCAGTTTGCTAAAAGCAAAACAATTGTACAAATACAATAAATTACATTTTTTATTATTGTAAATACAAGTATTTACTTATCAAGATTGAAGCCACCAACTTTATTTGTATCCTTTGATTCTAAATATTCTAATTGATCTGATTGATACTTTTTGTCTTATTTGGTCTGTGCCTTAAGGATTTGCTTTATCTAACAGCCTGGTTCATGTTACTTTGTTACTGGGAATATTTTGTTCCTTGATTGTTGTGCTTGTAATCTGGAACAAGGTTTCACTCTTCTGACGGTGGAGTGTTGACAGGCTCAATCCCCAGTTTATTCTGTTAACTGATACAGCAGTTTGGGTATTATAATTAGCCTTATGTTTCTGGGTTAGCAAGGGCAGAAATTAGACAGGGCATTCAATCCTGCTCAATATCCAGTGATCTTTATTGAAAAAATCAACCTGGTGAAAGTTGGGCAAGACCAGTGTTAGATTTAGCTTTCCTGTCAAATAGCCTACTGTTATAATCTCGGCTGACAGTGAAGGGTTACTTCTGTCTGGGAGACAACACTCGAATAAGGCTTCGTACCTTCAGGGGAGAAAAGGGAAAATAATTTGCCACCTTTTATAAGATAATGAGGAGGAATCTTGTTACTAACCAGGTATCAATTACAGAAGCTGCTTCCAATCTCTTCCTCAAGGAATGCAATTGCTCAAGTGGACAGTGTGTGGGCGTGTATGTGTGCGTGGGGTGTGGGGGGGGGGGGGGGGGGGGGGGGGTTATGTGTGTGTGTGTGAGGGGTGGGGGGAGTGCTGCCTACTCTTCAGGACCATGGTCAAAATGGGCATTCTTGATGTGTGACTGTAGACAGGCTATATTGGCAGGCCGTCTGTATGTACAGAACACAGTCCTATTCTCATGTGCTTTTTCAGGGGGTCATCAGATATCAATCAGAACTGGAACCCAGCCTTGTTTTTTTTTAGTTAGCAATTTTGTCTCTTGCCTGGGAACACCGGGGCTAATTGTAATATGCTGATTGTCATCCCAGCTGAAATCAAATAATTTAGCCAAGACCAGAAACATACCACACCTTACTATTCATTTATCCACTGAGCCATCAAACTGCTTATTACAGGGCAGTGGAACCATAAAAGAGAAAAGATGACTTTTCTATTCTGGAATCGGTCTCCAAATAAAAGAGAAGTGCATCAGAATTGGGTAAATGTGACAAGAATAAGTGAAAGGAGAATCCAGAGTGTGCAAAAGAAGCTGAATATCTGAGAGGTAATTCAAAGGGTTGCAGTTTTGATAGAATAAATTGTGTTGATGATATTTTGCTTACTGGATGAAGTTATTTTTAATGTGGACAGTAAATCAGAAGGCAAGATGAGATTGGTGTGGACCCCCCAATCAGCCAAATACAGGGCTACAAGTTATTTTTCCACATGGTTTAGCTCAACACAATCAGTAGATGGTATTTCAGAGAACACTGTTGACATGTATTGTGCTTTAAATAGATTGTGTCTCACTGTAATCTCAGTTTATAGGCCAAAAGACTTGTTAACATTTTATATAACCAGATTTTCCCCTGAGTAGCAATGAATGGTGAGTAGTACTTCCATTTTGATTGACCTGTAATTGGGTTTTAGTGTTTGTACTGTACTGTACTGAAGACTGGTATCAGGAGTCCTTTACACAATGTTTAAGAATTATCGAGGACAAAGGTATTTTCAAGTCTCTTGGAATTTCTGGCACTTCTTTCATTGTGGATTTGCCAACAAACCCTTGTTTGAACATATTCAGCTCTTTTACGACCACATATTTTGATTTCAATTACTTTGACATAGTAACTCAACACATCACAA